TTTTTTGATTTGGACTTTTTGACCAGGACAAAATGTTCAAATCAAAAAGTCATAATTGTAACTATTTTTGAAAAAAAATTTTTTTTGGACTTCATTGACTTTGCGGACTTTTTGTCCGGATAACCGTACGTATTATACGAATTCATACCATGTTAATAATGAAAAGGAAGCCCAGTGAATTTATATATACGTATGTGCGATTTTTTGAAAAAATAATAATAAAAACACAAGAAACGATATCGTTCAGCGAGAGCCTCGAAAGATTTGCCTATAAAAAAAAAGCGTTACGAATTAAGCTTCAATATTGCACTTTTCTGTATAGCACTGCGATTTAATGTTATTATTTTTAAAATTATTATTATTATTATTATATATGGAACAAGAAAATACAATTATAAAAAAAATAAAGCAATTGAATTATATGTAGTTTAGTGGTATGCACATGCCGTGTATGCTTCAATTTGAGTTTAGCGGTTCTTCCGCCGACTGCTGAATAAATTATTATTTTCTATGCTGTAATATTTGTCTTTTTTCTTTACAAATTACCACAATTTTTATTTTCAGAAAATTATATTTTATTTACAATTTATTAGGGTAAGTGTGGATATTACTATATGCAAATCCACTAAATTACTGCGATTTTTTAAAAATATTATTATTATTTGTTATTTTTTATAAAAATATACATTTTAAAATAATTCTAAATTTTTTTTTAAATCTTGATGTTTATGACACTGTAGTAATGTATTAAAACTCGCAGTAATATGTCAGCATTATGCTAATTTTTTTTTTTACGTTTTTTAGGATCATTTTTCTTTTTGCAGTTTAAAGTCTGATTTCTATTTTATTAGATAATTATAGCAATAGTGCTTTGAGAATAATTAGTTTCATGTCATTTATTCACTTATAGATATTTTTTTAGATTTCAAAATCGGTCTTCAATTTTAATCCACGCAATGTATGAAGATTACCTAAAACTAAAATTTATTATTATCAAATTTCCATGTGAATCAAATTTTATAAGACTGAATTTCCGTTTAATTGAATTTTATAAAGAAGATGATTTATAGAATTAATATTATTAGTAACTAAATTTTCACTGTCGAGAATTTTTATTACATACGAAATTTTATGTAATAAAATTATTATGATTATTTAATTAACCGAATTTTTTAATAGGTGTATTTCTATTTTACCAAATTTTCATTATTACTTAATTAAATTATAATTTTCAGATTAAATGTATTTTAAAATTTGGATTTTTTTATTTAGAAGAGAAAAATAAAATAATAATTTTATTATTAAAAAAAAATAATAATAATAATAAAAATAAAAAAATTTACCTAATAATGTTTAATATTTAAATTTATTTTTATAAAAAAACATTAAAGTGTTTGATAAAAATTATATTTAAGGTAAATAAATGTAAATATGTAGCAGACAAATTTACACAAAAAACATTGCTTCAAGAAAAAAAAAATTGTGAAAAGTTTTTTTTTTCCGTATAACATCACACAAAATATAAGTATTTATCACATTTTTACTACATTTCAAACTGAGTATCGAACGGAAATTATTTTGAGTCTATTTTTTTCGCATAAAAATAATATATTTCATCGAAAAAAATAAACAGTAACTATATTACTTATTATGAAATATTATTATCCTTTTTACAGAGTTTACTTTTGATTGTAAGGTTAAATAAAATTTGATACTTTTGTCCTGAGAAACAAAAGGATAGATTTTTGGGATGAACCATAATATTATGGCGTTTACAAAGGAATATGGTATGCGCTCAAGTGAGTAAAGTGAATATATTCATGACACGTCCCACGTGCCTGCATTCTCAGAGTTCGTCCCACGGATCCCACGGGATTTATTTTAAGATCAGTGATGCGCATTGGGTGTCCAGCACAATCTCTAATATCGATTATACATCGCGGGTACATTTCGCGACATTAATTTTTCAACATTCACTTATTATTTGCAATTTTTTCAAAAATCCATTAAATTATACAATATATTAAATGATTTTCAATTAAATCATTAATTGGTCAATCCATTTATATATATGTTATCTAAAGTCGTTGCAGTCTATTTAAAAAAAAATATTTATAATTCGTTATCATCATTTTTCACTGTAAATCGAAAGGTATTAATTTAATACCGACTTTAGGTACTAAATTGTCATTTGGTTCTATTTTGATACCTAAAATCGGTACTATTTTAGTACCTACTTTTTACAGTGTTTGATGTCGATACAATTCATTTTTAATAATTATTTAATCAAATTTTATATATATTTACCTTGGAATAATTTCAATTTTAAAGATTATTTCCACGGAAAAAGGTTAATTTGGCAGTTTGAAAAAAATTTAATAAAAAACACAGAAATAATACAGATAATGGGGCATTCTACGTGAAGCGGAAAACTCCGGTTATAATTTTTATTTACTATTTTTTTCCGCTACGTTAAATTTGAATTAAAATTTAATAAATAAATTCAAATTTAATTTTATATGTATATATGTGTGTGTGTGTGTGTTTGATCGAGAATCAAGTGAAAATGTCAATAATCCAATAAGTGTCGGGATATCAATGACTACATCGCTTACCTATATACTCAGAATATACGTTTAATTTCCGCCTAGATAAATCGCATAGAAATGGAGTACGTTTCTCCTATAAATATATTCCCTCTATGCAACGAGATTGCATAAAATTTTATTTTTTATATAAATACAAATACTATACAGGGCGATTTTTATCTTCCGGACCCCCTAAAAATTTTTTTTTTTAATCTCACTTTTTTTCATTTTTTAAACAAAAAAAAAGGGGAATTAAAAAAAATCTTTAGGAGGTCCGAAACATAACAATTTTTCATACTACAGAATTTTTACTTAACCGAAAAATCATTTAACAGAATTTCTATAATTGATACAATTTTCAAATGCCCGAAATTGCAAATGGCCGAACAAACAATCGACAGAAAGATTTCGGTGCGATTTTTAAAATCAACCAATCAAAAATTATCCATAAAATTGTGATTGGTTGATTTTAAAAATCGCGCCGAAATCTTTCTGTCGATTGTTCGTTCGGTCATTTGCAATTTCGGACATATGAAAATTCTATCAATTAGAAATTCTGTTAAATGATTTTTCGCTGAAAAAGTATGACAAAACGGTTATATGGAAATTATATCAAATAATAATTAGAACAAATGAAAATTCATCTGATAGAAAATTCTGTGCAATTAAATTCTACCCAATAAAAATTCTTTAAAAATGCCTATTATGTAAAATGAAAATTCGAGTAAATAAAAATTTTCATAATTAAAAATTTGTACAAATAAAAATTCTATGAAATGAATTTTCGGTTATATAAAAATTCTGTAATATAGAAAATAGTTTTTATGAAAATTCTGCAAAATACTAATTCGAACAAATAAAAATTCCGCTCAAAAAAATAATTATGACAAATGAAATTCTATAAAATAAAAATCCAAATTGATGATTTTTAGAACATAATCGCATGCGTCCCGAAATTATTCGTAAAATTAGGAAAAATTAATTTTCTCTTATTAAAACTGAAAATAAGAAATTTTAACTTGTTAAGATGTACAAACATATACACTACTTTAACTCTCATGAAACATCGCAGCATCATTAGAGTATATATATGCAGTAACAGCGAATCCGGCCCCACGCCAGTTCAGTCTTACCGTAACCGATGTCGGCAACGCGTCAATTTTAAAATTCGGAAGCCACCGCCAAATCTTAAACTAACCAATCAATTGATCGATCGATCGATTTAATCGCAATTCCAGTCCAATAATTTTAAATATCCTATCCATATAGGATTTGAAAGTCGCGATTTTTCAAATGACACACACACACCGCCAAGTGCAGTCAGCGTAATAAAAATTCCGTCCTCACCTTCTTATCGATGCACTTAAGTCTTTACGACTCTTATCGATAAAAACGTCAACCATAAAAGCGTCTTAGTGTTCTAAGATTTCTATATCTTTGCGCGCCCTATAATCTTCAACTATTTCAACTTGTGTATTCATCGTACAATATTAGATTTTTTTTGGGGGGTGAAATTGTACCTGATTTTCAAAAAAGAAAACAAGATTTACATTAGAAAAATGGAAACATTTATTTGATAAACTGCCAAGTCGACTGTGAACTTCTTTACGTAAGCTCTCTGCAATAATGTTCGCTTGTTGGGATGAGTGTAAAACCATGCGTTTATATTCAGATCTACAAACATTTCGTTCGCAAAAAATAGGATGACCTTCGCATTTATTATGCGATAAACACTGAGTGAAAGTAGGTTGAAAGTGTTCTATTAAAAAGAAATTAATTTCCAAAATAGTTGATATTTTATTGTAAATATACTTTGAATATTGTTAAGAATGACAAAAACAAAAAAAATATATTTTACATGAAAATATAAATTGAAATTATTTCATTTAGTCAAATAATGATAACTGGCATCTGTCAATTGCGTCATTTCCTAGAGCCAAATTTTCAATCATGTTAGCAAAGAAAGTGAAACTTCACTGCCAATTTCTCAGATTTAATGCTAATCGAGCAGTATAAAATACATCAAAACAGCTGTTTACCATTTATTATATGACGCAAATACAAAATATCCATTTTTACGAAAAAAAAAAAAGATGCAAATATGCATCATTTAATAAGAATGTAACAGAAAAAAAGTTACAGCTAAAGAGAAACAGAATCTACAATAGGATAACAAATTTTAGAGGCAGAAAAAACAACGTCAAAAAGGGGGGAAAAAGTTGAAGAAGAAGAAGAAGAGAATTCCTTATACGTAAAGAAACAGGTATCTTGAAGGGTAAAATCCGCTGAAATTCCTCAGATATACATTCACTTCCAAACATTCTACATATTTTTTAAACACAATTTTATAATCGTTAACCAAAAATATTTTTCTAAGTGTTTTTAACGTAAAATATTTTACAAAAATTTTTTCACTTTTCACAATACTATATTATAGAAATTCATTACTTTCCCTTAGTGATATTAGAGAAAAGAAGAAGGTAAATTAGCAATAATAAAATAAACAAAACGAGTGATATTTATACCCAAAAATGAAACGAAATAACTCTCAAACACCCTGAGGGGGGATTATAAATATTGCACCATTGTGCGATTATCAAGTAACCGAAATATTATCAATAACAATAATAAATCATGAAGAATGCCCATATAACATCACCATCATCATCTTACGAAGCAGATACAAAAGATCCCAAAGACAGTGTAATAAGATTAAAAATTGATAAACCCTCAAATTGGGATTGGCAACTAACAACATCTTCAAATACAATTCCAGTTATTCAATTAATCGACAAGGATGGTCGTTTACTCGTTGAAACTGCGGCAGGAATTGCACAAAGAGCAAAAGGTTCATTTCGCGAAGGTTTAAAAACACACGAAGAATTTCCCGATTCAAAAATCAAATTACTTGGAAATAGAAATTTTGAGGGTTACAGTACAAAATTTGAATCTCATCATTTTGGTAAACCAAGAAAATCACGAAGTGACATTGACGTGAGAAATGGTGGTAAAAAATCACGTAAAAGAAATAGTTCCATTGAAATTAGCCGATCATCAGAAGGGAATAATAAGAAATATTCGCCTGGTGATTATTTACGTCAACAGATTCTTGTTGATCTTAGAACCAATAGCACTGAGGGAAAGACTCCAAATGAAATTGCACAAGTCAGATGTGAGAAAGTTCGTGTTTATCTGAGAAATAAAAGTGATTCCTCATTAAACGAAATTCATCATTCTTCACGAGAAAGAAGTAGAAATAATTCCAAAAGAAGGGTAGACAGATCTACGAGTAATAGTAGAAGGAGAAGTTTACAAAATGAAGGATCTTTATATTTCGATGGGGAGATGGTATCTGAAAAATGTTCCAACATTCGAAGAGATGCTTCCAATAGCAGAAGGAATTTTTCCAACAGAAGGGACACTTCCAATGGTAGAAAAGATTCCTCATCTAGAAGAAGTAATACTCCCAATGGAATAGGAGAAATCTCCAATGAAATTATTGATTTGCCAACCGACAAAACTACAGGAGACAATATTTCATCAGAATCGATGGAGACCGATATTCCCAAAGTGCCATTTCCCCAAACGACTGTAAACTCATTCAAAACAGGAAAACAATTAACAAAACACGAACTAGAAAAGATTCGCGGCTTCCTGCAAGATCGTATTTCAGCAAAAATGACAGAGGAAAAACTTTCTCGATCCCGTTCACAGCCGATAGGAATGAACAATTTTCCTGATACAGAAATCGAATCAGAGAAAAGATACTCCGATTATTCGCCCAACCGAAAGAACTATCACATCAGAAAAGTGGGTAGCGATGCAAGTGTGGTGCGGTTTAAAGAGAGGCAACTTCAACCAAGTGGAAGCCGACATAATTTGGAAGATTCCTCCATTCTCAGGAGGAAACTTCGTTCAAGGACACGGACCGATGCACTACTCGAAGCCGACGAACTGGAAAATATTTACAGAGAGAGGAAACCTGTCGTAAAGCAAAAGGTCTACACAAGAAAAACAAGAAGTGACACATTGCTCGGTAATCTCGATTCAAAATATCATCTTCAAGATAATCTTGAGAGAACATGGAGGGAATATAAAGACAGAAAGAAAATTGATAGTAAATTAGATAAATTAGATACATCAGATATGGAGGAAGAAGATTTTATGAAGAAACCCAGATGGAAGGATTTGAAATTTGAAAATTGTTCTCTAAGAAATTGTCTGATTTGTGAGAATCTTAAAAATTGTATAAATCCATTGGCAAGTAAAATTGAAGAAAACACCAATCATTCTAAATTGAAACAAGAAATTCTCAAACAAAATGGACAATTAAGTCCCGATATAAATTCAAGACCCAAAACAGCTTTACAGGAAAATTATTTAGTTTTAGACAGAGTAACATCACCTCAACACGATTCAATCATCTCAGAAACTACAACTAACTCCCGCGAGGAAGAAATTTCAAGTTCCAGTTGGAATTCGCCTGATTTTGGTTACAACTCAATTCCAAAACAGTCGAGGGACTACAAGGAAATTCTCAGCTCTAGTTCGGCTGTTAAGAAAAGTGACACGTTCAAAGTTGTTGACGGAAGTGAAAATCCCACAATAATTGATGAGGAAAAATTGCCCATGAAAAATGGAATTTCTCTAAAATTCAACAATGAATTATCAAATGATATTGACAAGCAAAATTTAAATAGACAAACTAATCAAGAAATTGCTGAAGACTATTTTCTAAGGGTTTATGAACTTTTAAAGAAACGCAAGGAAGAAGTAAGACAATTGGCTCAACTTTGCAACGATTCAGAACGCGAACTAGAGGAAACGGAAATCATGAAACCCAGGAGACGGCGTAGGCAAAAAATAGGCGACTCTCCACAAGGTGAGAATATAAAATAAATTTTCTTTCCCTTTTTGCTTTACGGAATTTTTTTTTATTTTTTTCTTCTATAAATATAATTCATGACTCATGAAACTTTTTTTTTCTCTTACTCAAAACTTTCTGCAATATACCTAATAATAGTTGATAATATTTTCTTCGTGCAAAAATAAATATCAACGATGTTTCGTGTATATATACAAAAGCAAATATGAATCACATCTTTGGGGTAGGATTTGATTATTATTAAATATAGTCATAGAACTTTTGGTGAAAGTAGGTCGCAGAGAATTGGAAAAGTTAAAAACTATATCATAAGCTCACAAACTGGGTAATTTTAGTAATTACTGAACTAAAAATACAAATAAATATTCAAAATTAATATAAAATTTAAAAATATTTAAATCTGTATATTTAATGGAAAATAAATGAAATGATTTATTATTAATATTTGGCACATATTTGAAATTTAATCGTATTTTTAAAATTGCTCAACTTTAAAAAAAAAAAGATTTAAAATTAAAAAAAAAAAGGAAAATATTTACAAAACAGAGGCTAGGTTAGGTCTGTGAGACGCAATAGAGATATAAATATACAATTCACTTTAAAAAATCTTGTCTAGGCGCACTTGTGGGTTAATAAAAACTGAAAGTATATCTAGATATTTATAAACGTTGCCAAAGAACTTACGGGCTTGAAAGACGTTTGTCATTGGCAATGAAGAATTTGGCGTGCGAACTCATTTTACGCAACCAATTATTTTGATAAAACGTATCCTCTTAAATATAACGACATCGTGTATTTAATATAGTATCTATATAATAATGAAATGAGATCAAACATTGACAACTCCCGACTCACGCAAATCAAGTATATCTAATTCATTTATAGTATAAAATCAACTAACACACATATCAAGTTTTTCTCTTCCCACATCTGTTTCCAACGCAGCATTTTCGCCGAGAGCTATTGTCCTCCTGACTTCGTTCCAATTTAATATTTACTTTCGTCGAGAAATGGAGAGCAAATCGTTTTATCTGCTATATCAGAAATTTTCGCAGTTCAACAACAATAATTCAAGTGTGGAAATTGGAAAACAATCATTGAAAAAGGATTGCCGTCGAAAATGAACGTTCAAATTACTTTGAAAGAAAGAGAAAAATAAATAACAGAAAAATTGCTTTATAGAAAATGTCCAACTACAATTGTCTTAGATGACGTATAGTGGGATGGGTTTTCATAGTAAAGAATTTAATGAATTAACCATTAGTATTGAAGTAGTATATTGATTTTAATTTTGGACCAGTACTAATGCGCCCTTACTATTTGTTTTCGAGACAATCGGTAGTTAAATTTTAATTATAATCCAAAGGTTTCATTACGAATCAATTTGTTTCCATACCACTGGAATAAAAATAAATGTGATACAGGTATCAAAGCTGTAGTTGTTTGAACTATACCACGTTAGTAAAGACATAAAGTGCCATTAAATGTAAACAGGCAGTTCTAAACCGATTTTGGTAGTTTGGTTATTTAGCACGATACCCTGGAAATAATGTCAACCCTCAAGTTGCTTCCTCTCAACGATTTTTGTTGCAGCTTGTTCGGGGCACCTCACTGAATATTTTCCAAAAAGAAAAATCCATCGGTTTTTTTAATTTTGATTTTTGTGTTTTTAGTGACGAATTTAAAACAAATCACCTGGTTTTTCTAATTACATAAACTAATTAAATTAAATTTCAACTAATCATGACGAAATTTTGGCTTATATTTCAGAACCAAGAACCAGAACATACTTTTTCGAAATATTTTAACTTTGCTGAATCCGAATCTGACCTCAGAATTGACCTAGGACGTCAGGTTTTCGAGATATTTTAACTAAAAAGCGCCAGAAAAAACTTTTTTTTGACAATATTTTGTCGTGTAACATTAAAATATGCCATTCCATGAGTTTTTTTTTATCACTTTTCAGAGTAACCTTTCCAAATTAAATAAAACATTTTTTTATAATATTTATTAATATAGAGGTCCAAAATAATCACTTTTTAAGTAAAAACAATTGTTTATTTAAAAAATACAACAATAAATAATGAAAAAAATTCACTTTTTTTCTGCACCACCAAATAAATTGGTTTAATGATCAAAATTTTCCTTATTTTTCAAGCTTTCATATCGCACAAGAAAAATGAGGTGATTCGAAATAGTTAACTCACAATTTAATAAACAATGTTTGTTTACTTTTTTGTATTTTATTTACTGTGAAACGTCTGCTATTGCTGCGCGCGACATTCGGAAGTTGTCGCTCTCGTTATTGAGTAGAAGCTCATTACACTAGCGTAGTAGAAAGCATATTTTGTTCGAAAAGTGAGGTTTTTTCATCCTTCAAAAATGTTTTTTATGATTTTTTACTGCAAAGTAGGTAATTAAAAACCATTCAATTTGATGACCAGAAATTTTTATGTTTTTTTCAATGACAACATAACCTCACTTTTCACACAACATTTTTTTACTATACGCTAGTGTAATGAGCTTCTGCTCAATAACAAGAGCGACAACTTCCGAACGTCGCGCGCAGTGATAGAAGACGTTTCACAATAAATAAAATACAAAAAAGAAAGAAAAAATTGTTTAATAAATTGTGAGTTAACTATTTCGAATCACCTCATTTTTCTTGTGCAGTATTAAAGCTTGAAAAATAAGGAAAATTTGGATCTTTCAACCAATTTATTTGGTGGTGCAGAAAAAAGTGAATTCTTTTTATTATTTATTGTTGTATTTTTTAAATGAACAATTGCTTTTTACTTAAAAAGTGATTATTTTGGACCTTTATCTTAATAAATATTATAAAAAAAATGTTTCATTTAATTTGGAAAGATTACACCGAAAAGTGATAAAAAAAAACTCATGGAATGGCACATGTATAATTTTTTAATTACAGCATCTGAAAGTACTATTCTTACCCTTTAAAATGCATTCTGAAACTTTAAAAATCTTTATTTGCCTCTGAGTTATCGTTATTTGAATTTTTTGAAGCATTATTCACCACTTAGAAAATTCAAATGACGATAACTCAGAGACAAATAAAGATTTTTTAAAGTTTCAAAATGCATTTTTAAGGGTAAGAATAGTACTTTCAGATGCTGTAACAACCTTTTTGAAAAAAAAATTATATCTTAATGTTACACGACCTCAAATGTGGTAAAAAAAAACGTCTTTTCTGCACTTTTAAAATAGAATATCTCAAAAACCGGACGCGCTGGGTCAATTCTGAAGTTAGATTCGGATTCAGCACGTCAAAGTGCTTCGTTAACGTATAGTACAATTGGAACCTGACATTAACTTTCGATGAGGAATCCTAGAAAATCCGGAAAACTGTAAAGACATTCAAAACAATCTCACCGGCGCTTTTTCAAAGTTTTCAAGTTAACACTGTTAGAAATCAGCGACTTCGATGGATAAAAAACTTTAAGCCAAATGAAATGAGAACATTCTCACTTTTCAGGATTGAACATTTTCCACAACCGGAAATCGAGAACAAACTATATATAGGGTCTTCGTACTATCAAGGTACTCTGAAAACAATTTCCACCCTCAAGTTGCTTCTTTTCGCCGATTTTTGTTGCAACTTTTTCGGGGCACCTCACTGAAAATTTTCCAAATATGAAAATATGCGCTTTGATTAAAATTTTGATTTTAGTGATTATCAAAATCTAAATGATGTGCGAATCTAAATCACTAAATTCAAAATTTTAATCAAAGCGCCCGATGGATTTTGATTTTTGGAAAATGTTCAGTGAGGTGCCCCCGAACAAATTGCAACAAAAATCGGCGAGAAGAAGCAACTTGATAGTTGAAATTGTTTCCAGGGTATCATGATAGTACAAAGACCACATAGTTTGCTCTCGATTTCCGGTTGCGGAAAATGTTCAATCCTGAAAAGTGAGAATGTTCTCATTTCATTTGGCTTAAATTTTTTTTTCTTCATCCAAGTCGCTGATTTCTAACAGTGTAGAATTAAAGTTTTTTTTCGATAAGAAGCATCAATCATTTTTAAAGAAAATGTTTAATGAACGAAAATTTAAACGTCTTGAAATGAAAAACTCCATAATATATAAGCCAAATTCCCTAATACATTGGAAATTTACTATAAGAAATAACAAATTTTATTTTCCTCAATTAAATTACAAGAAAACGAAGTAAACTTTTAGTGATATCCCCAGCATCAGCTTTAAAACTTCGGAGAGAATTAAGTCGAGGTTGTGTTTAATAGCCCTTGGCAAGGTCTACATTGGATTTTCGCAAGGTAATGGATATTCGACGAGGAGATCCCATTTATATTAAAATCCGTGAAACCGACCCTATGTCGAAGAAGCAGCAGCAGCACCACTTAATATCGTAAATGTATGGAGCAATGGTTATATGTACGTGCTCAAGTATTGTCTTCGGCTCATCTCCTTAAAATAGTTGGCATCGTGCCAGCTAGAACGCCGTGTGACGTTCTCACTTCCGGAATCACTGATGCTCGCACTTCATCCGCGCGCGCGTCGATTCAGCGTTTCGATAAAGGTTACAAGCCAATCCATTTTCTATATAACCACGCTCCGTTAAAAATTTTTCCATTATAACATTTTTCCTTTATCGCTTTTTATATGTATACTGCCGTGAAAACAACCACTTGATTTATGAGAAAATTTATTTTTTCCTTTCACTATGTACTCCATTTTTTTGTTTTTAGTCTCAGGGTTTATTGAGTTCATGACTTTATTTAGAAAACAAATATGTGCAAAATTAACTGATTTTTTTAAATACAAAATTCAAGGTTTTATTATAATGTGATACAACTGACTGTAACTGATTTTATATAATCAATGACGATCGAATTTTCGATTTCAAATACTGATATATTTCTATATTAATTTTCAGTAAGTTTTACGTGAAATTGTATTGATTTCTAAATTGTTACTCTACATTGCTTTATCAAAATTACGGGAATTAGAGAATTA